TCCTTTTGGCCAAATGCTCTGGCTACTTCATTTAAAACTGTTTGTATTAAATTATAATATGCCACAACCGATTAACCCATTTACTTACTGACCTTTATCCTGTGTCCATATTACTATTGCAAACATTGCTGCAATAAGCATCCTTGTGCATGTCTTTGTGCTCACACAGGGGTTTCTAGTCCAGGGTACACACCTAGTAGTGGGAATACTTAGCTTTACTCTTACTGGATACTGCCAAATTAGTCTCCCAAATCACTGTTTATCCTCTCACCAGCACTGTGTACACATTCTCATTATCCCCCTTCCCAGACTTCTAAATTTTTGTGAGCCTAATGGGTATGAAATAATACCCTATTGGGGCACCTGGGTGGCTCAGTTGGTTAAGCATCCAACTTTTGATTTCAGCTCAGGTCATGATCTCACAGTTTGTGGGATCTGTGCTGACAGCATGAGGTCTGCTTGGGACTGTCTCTCTCCCTCTCTCTGCCTGTGCTGCCCCACCCCGAATAAATAAACTTTAAAGAATATATAGTATCTTACTGTCTTCTTTTGTAAAATTCTGATTTCAAGATTGAGCACCTTTTCATTTACAAGGCAGTCTTCTTTGCTTAACTACAGATCTCCATTCCATTGTTCACTTAGTAAGACTATGAAAGTACCTATTATGTGCCTGCAATTGTGATGAGCAGAGGAACAAAAAGTTACCAAAATAGAAATAGACACTGCTTTTCCAGAACTCACAATCTAGTGTGAGGTGGGGGTGCAGAGAAAACCAAGTAATCACAAATACAAACTATGGTAACACAAAGCACATTAACAGTACTCTATGAAAATTTAAGATGACCGATTTAGTTGAAGGCAGCAGAACCTTCCCTGAAGTGACTTTTTTTTTTTTTTAATTTATTTTTGAGACAGAGACAAAGCATGAGTAGGAGAGGGGCAGAGAGAGAGACACAGAATCTGAAACAGGCTCTGGGATCTGAGCTGCCATCACAGAACCCGATGCGGGGCTCAAATCCATGAACCCTGAGATCACAACCTGAGCCAAAGTCAGACGCTTGAGCCACCCAGACGCCCCTGAAGTGACATTTGCATCTTAACAGCTGAGTAACAACTAACTAGTCCAGCAGCTATACAGAACCAGGCACCACCATCAGCAGCATGTCTAATAACTGGGGAAGTGTTTTCCTACCTTCCCATGCTGGCACAGAGGTGTGCTAGATGCTGTGACTGAAATAATGCCTGCCCTGGGGTCCTTCCCCAGACACACCCAGGGACCAGGAGTGGGAGACTGGGGTTTTCTCCTGGCTCCCTTTTGCAATTTTGGGACTATTGCTCCTGTGCTACTGTATCCGGTTTATTACTGTATGAGTCTCATACCATCTGATTATAGTAATCTATACACGCTGACCCAGAAAACCCATTTTGGGGTATTTTATTTCATTCTGGATATTTAAAAAAAAAATTCTATTAAAAAAAGGAGGGGTGTTTCAAAAGATAAAAGTATTAAATGTCATTATTATAAAAACCAATACCAAAACCTACAGTAAGGGACTTAAGGAGATCTTGAGACTGTATTATTTATGAAAAATGGTGGTTTAAGTATGGGCAAATGTAAATAACAACTTGATATATTAAGGTATGAGGGTTACGGGTCAATTTAGGGAATTTAATTTACTAAAGTAGTCAGGAAAAGTATTCCAAAGCCCTTCACCATTTTGTCTCTGTCTGGTCTCCAACCTAACCTATCACCGTATCCCATCACCCACTCCTCCCAAAACAATACTGCGTTATGTCCAGCTCCTTGAACATAACAAGGCTCTGGGGACATCAAAGTTAGAGGTAAAAAGCCAGTCGGTCCTAGGTTCAAAGCCTCAATCTTCCATTGGAAATACTATCTCGGGAATACTAGGTAAAATTACTTTATCTCTCTGGCCCCCCCTACCCCCATTAGAAAACAAGGATACATGTATTAGGTTCCTTTAATGCAAACAACAGAAATCTGACAAATTAGCTTAATCAAAAAAGGGTAATCATTGGACTGACAGTAGGGAATCCCAGGAATGGCTTCAGAAATTGAGCCAGGTCCAAAAGGACCTCAGGATTAGAAATGAGGGGTGTCCAGCTGGCTCAGCTCGTTAAGCGTCCAACTCTTGGTTTTGGCTCCGGTCAGGATATCATGGTTTGTGAGATCACGCCCCGCACCGGACTCTGCACTGACAGCGTGGAGCCTGCTTGGGATGCTTTCCCCTGCCCCCGCCATTCCCTGGCTCTTTCTCACTTGCTCTCTCTCTCTCTCAAAATAAACTTAAAAAAAAATACCTTCAAAAAAGAAATGAGAGTACCACCATGTCAGCTGCATCGCCTCCTACAACAATAGAACTCCTCTCTCTGGTAAGGAATTGGGCTCTAGGCAGTTGTCAAAGTTGTTGTTATTGTTGTTTTTTTAATGTTTTATTTATTTCTGAGAGAGACAGACAGACAGACCGCATGAACAGCAGAGGGTCAGAGAGAGAGGGAGACACAGAATCTGAAGCAGGCTCCAGGCTGTGAGCTCCCAGCACAGAGCCCGATGTGGGGCTCGAACCCATGAACTGCGAGATCATGTCCTGAGCTGAAGTCGGATACTTAACCGACTGAGCCACCCAGGCACCCCTAGGCAGTTCTAGAACTTTACCTTTCCAACCTAGCAACACAAAATAAAAGTGTCGCTACCAAATCTATTTTGAAATTTTTCTGGCAAAGGACTCTGGCTCAGCTAGGTCACAGGCTTGTCCCTAGAATTATCACTGAGCCCCAGGGATATCCTGACTTGTCTTCCTGTAGTCAGTACAGCAGAAATGTTGTAAGAGAAAGAGGGAGGAAAAAGTTGGGCAAAGACAAGAGTTACCACAAGACCTAGAACAAGGAGTTGTAAGGATTAAATGAAGTGATGGCTATGAAATATTTCACACAATTTCTTTCTAGTAGTAAACATTCAATAAGTGGTACCTATTATTAACTCACCTGACTGTGATGAGATTAGCAGTTAATCCCTCCTTCTTGACACACCATGGTTTTAATCTTAGCCATGTTCTGAAAACTGAAAAAGACAAACTGACTCCTGTTCAACTAAGAAGGCTATTTATTGAAATAATACAACGATGTTACAAGGATGCATTTCATGTGGCCTAGAAAGCCGGGTGTTCATTAGTGCATGGTGCCTGGTTGCTGGAACTAGAGAATCCTCTGCTCAACCAACCAGGAACATTCTGGGCTCCTTCAGTCAGTGAAGATGTGCAGATATTCAGAACCTGGTTGCTCTAGGCCAAGCTCCACACACACAAACCAGTGGTTTCCTTTGAGTCTTCTGGAACCAAGTCTTTATAAACTTTCATAAAAGTAAGATAGCACTCAACTGGTTACAATTTATGTCATTCTTCCAAATAGTCCCCTATGGGGACCCCCAAACAATCAGCAGCAAACAAGCTCCTGATAAGCAAGGCAGTCACTGAGTAGGGGAGGGTCTGTGTAGAATTACCCATTGTCAAACTACCTATCAGACAACTCATGGTCTTGGCTCTGTGGGTGTGTGTTGAGCATAGAACATCACAAACAAGGTGTTTCTGAATGGTTGTCTTGGAAGGGCAGATTTCCATCTTGTCCAACTTGTAATAGACTCGCTGGGCCAGACACCACACATTTCAACCCCCATGCATATTTTTCCTGCAAAGAATTATGAAGAATCTTTGGGAGCTGCCTCATGTTGTCCAGGATGAGACAAGGATGATGGATCTTGCTACCTGGCATGCGAAGAAGGCAGTAAGGAAGGTTTATCATCGACACTGCCCACATCACTCCACTTCATGATTCATTAGGGTGGGAAAATTTTATTTTCTTAAAAGGGGAGGCTCTTGTGTGAAAGGTGTCAAAGTGCACAGCTGCTTCCAAATTTCTCTCTACTGTTGGCACCATGAACAAAGGCTGGGAAATTCCTTTAGGACAGCCCATGAGGCATGAGAGAACATTAGATCAGTTCCCTAAACTGATTTAAAGACAAAGTTTATGACAATGGGTAATTACATTTATACTGCTACACAGTGAAATTAATTTGGGGGAAATTTTTCCCTCTTAGTTTTGTGTTGTCTTCCCATTGATCCAATATAGATAGCTTGGGGCAGTGTTTTTTCATGGGAGTGTCATAAAAAGCATGATAAGAGGACTTAATAGGTCTATGAAACTGACGTATGTTAGTTTAAAGCATAAATATTACACTTGGGAAAAGGAAAAACGGCACCAGTAGTTGAACTATTCGCAGCTTTTGTTAACATTTTGGTATGTAAGCCCCCAGCAAATTATTTAAAATAGGCCTGTGATACATTTGCATGTAGTTTGCTGCCTCTTATGCTTTTATGAAATCCCAAAGTATTCAACTTAAGCGCTCATTAAATGTTTGTGCACCTGATTTATTTAAAAATTTACTTTAAAGCCCTCTGAATTCTAAAATTCCTTTTTTCATTGGACAGACAACTGAAAGAATTCCAGGCAAAAGAATCTTTTTTTTTGACAGGGCAAAAGATCCAGGAGACCTGCATTCTCCACCCAGCTGTGCCATCACAAGCTGTATCACACTGTGCGAACCACTTCAAATCTTTGGCTTTTGGTTTCTTCATCTGTACAACGAAGTGGTTGGACCAGTTGATCTCATTCTTCGAATGGTGAATTCCTGGAGGTGGAATTGGTTTCCATAGTGAATTTAACATAAGAGCTGCAGATGAATGCAGTTGTCAAGCAATTTTAAAAGTAAGTTTTGGTCATTATTGCAGGAGTTTTATTAAAAAAGACTGTAAACAGTAACAAGTCAAACTGTTCAAAGTTGATGATCTCCTGCATAAACGGATTTAAAAGCTTTATAAAGTCCAATACATAGGCATATCATTTCCAACTGGTTATATGTAATGCTTATAGTTGTTTTTACAAAAGTCTGTAATCAGATTTGAAAATGTACCTTCTATTTTATTAAAAAAAACATTGTTTACTAGCATAGAGCTTTCTTCACACACCATACACATGCGCGTGCACACACGCACACACACACACACACAAATTCATTACATTTTGAAGCTTCCTCTCCAGTAAGAATCTTCTAATACTGAACATGAACAACATTTTAGCTAAAATTTTCTGCACATTCCTTAATTTCAGGGCTTCTACAGTTTATTCCGTGTATGAATTCTCTGGTGTTTAGTTAGCGCTGAGCTTCTACTGAAGTTTTTCCCACATTCCTTACAAGCATAAGGTTTTTCTCCAGTATGAATTCTCTGATGATCATGCAGATTGGTTTTTTTCCGAAAGGCTCGCCCACATTCATTACATTCATAGGGTTTTTCTCCAGTGTGAGTTCTCTCATGCTGAATGAGGGATGAACTTTGACTAAAGGCTTTCCCACAGTCAATACATTCATAGGGTTTCTCTCCAGTGTGGGTCCTCTCATGTTGAGTAAGTGATGAGCGTCGACTGAAGGCTTCTCCACATTCATTACATTCATAGGGTTTTTCTCCAGTATGAATTCTGTGATGTTCTATGAAGCTTGTACTCCTTTTGAAAGCTTTTCCACATACATTACACTGATAGGGTTTCTCTCCAGCATGAGAAATAGGTTGTTGATTAAAGTTCTGCTCACATTCATAGGGGTTCTGTCCAGTATGGATCCTCTGATGATCAGTAAAGTCAGTGATGTGACTGAAATCTTCCCCACAGTCATTACAATGATAGGATTTCACTTCACTGACAGTACTTTCATCTTGAGTTAGAGATGAGCTGTGCTTGAAATCTACACTGTAGTTATTGCTTTGGTAAGGTTTGCCTCTCTTATGAATCCTCATATGTTTATAAAGGGATGGGCTCTGACCAAAAGCCCTCCCACATATGCTACATTCAAAAGGTTTCTCTCCTGTGTGAGTCCTTTCACGCTGCACAAGGGAAGAACATCTGCTAAAGGCTTTCCCACACTCCTTACATTGGAAGGGTTTCTCTCCACTATGTGTGACCTCATGTTGGGTGAGGGATGTGCCATGCCTAAAAGATCTCCCACATAAATTGCATCGATAGGGTTTCTCTCCAGTGTGAATTCTCTGGTGCTGAACAAGGGAGGAGCTGCGCTGGAAGGCTTTCCCACAGAGACTACACTGGTAAGGTTTCTCTCCCGTGTGAGCATTCTCATGCTGGCCAAGGGATGAGCTATGCCTGAAGGCCTTCCCGCACACATTACATTCGAAGGGCTTCTCCCCAGTGTGAATTCTTTGATGCTCAGTAAGTTGTGTCTTCCAGAGGAAGGTTTTCCCACAGTCAGTACATTCGTGGTGTTTCTTTCCAGGATAAATCCCCTGATCTGTACCACTGGGGCAAGCTCCCTCTGCTTTATGAGTTTTCTCGTGTTTAGTAAGTGATGATCTATGAATAAAGGCTTTTCTACATTTATCACATTTGTAAGGTTTCTTTTTTGCAAGGATATTACTCTGATTAATTATATCTGAATTCTGTCCCAAATTGCTTCCAAGTGTATCACATTCACTAGGCCTTGAAGGAACATTCAGCTGTGTAACCAGAACTGTGTTCAATCTGGGGTTTTCACCAAACTTATTTTGCTGAAAAGTTTCCTCTGGTGTGATTACTTTCTTCTGGGTGGATGCATCTGGCCCCAGATACCTTTTCCAGTTTTCCTGGTGCCTCTCTAACTGGCTACTAACATCCCAAGCGTTTTCAAATGTGGCGCGTGAAAGGCCATCTGCACTACGGGATCCTTCGGATATGCTCTGCTGCAGATGTGAAGATTTGGCTTCAGGCCTGGTCTTCCAGTCTGAAAGAAATCCAATGTGCAAAAGTCCCCTATTCCCTTCTATTGAAACAAACTGCTCCAGTAGGAATGGGGAAAGGAAAGAGATATAAACTACTCATGATTCTGTTTTGAAATTAATCCAGGAGCTGGGAGAGAAGACCCACAATGAAGGAAAAGGAAGGGTACAGAGAGGTGCAGGTACAGTGCAGGTTGCAGAGCCCGAGTGTATGGCAAGTCTAGAATGAGGATGCCCACCTGGAAGGGCTGGTCAGGAAGCAAGGGAATAAGTGAGGAGGTTGGGCACAGATACAACTGGAGAAAAATCATGGTCTGTCTTGCACGATCCTATCTGCTCTCCATGCTTCCTGTCCATTTTACAAATCATCCCCAAATCTGTCTTCCTAATACAGCCATTTCACAATTTCTTTAAAGTTACCTCTGAGGCTCCAAATCTTCAAATCCTGCAGAGAAAATCTGTAGCCACTGATGTAACTGAAATTACTATTTGACATACTTGGAGATCAATGGCTGTACTTCACAAGCTGACATAAAGTAATTTATCAGGAGGCAAATTGTCCTTGCCTTTACAGTCAGGTCTGTGGTTTTAGTCTTTCTTTGAGTTCTACACTATTCAGCTCTCTTAACCAAAAAGGATTCTACTCTGCCTAATAAATTGATCTCTAAATTCCCATTTAACCTCAGAATACTAATAGCACAGACTTAATTAGCTTCTAGGTTCTAAGAACAGTAACTTTTAAAAACTAAGGGAAAAAAGGTCCTGAAGTGATGGAAATGTTCCATACTGAAATGAATTGGGATTAGATGGGTAAATGCATTTGTCAAAGTCAACTGGATGGTACTTAGAAGAGTTGCGTATCTTACTGTACTTACATTTTTCTTTAAAAAAATAAAAAATACTGAACTCTAGTTAATGATACATATGAAGTATGTAGAGGTGAAATGTACTCGTGTCAGCAACTTAACTGGAAATGCATCAAAAAGGCCGACTGATAGATGAAGAGTATGTGATAAAGCAAATATAATAAAATGGTAACAACTACAGAATCTTGGTGGTAGGTATACAATGTTCACTGTATTAATTTTTTCAACTTGCCATATGTTTGAAAATATTCATAGTAAAATGTTAGGAGGGAAAAAAAATCTACAACCAAAGGATCCTAAACCCCAAAAATTCCTCACCCTGGAATAAGATTCAATTCTAATTTCCCCAGGACAGAAAATGCTTTTAATTTCTTTTAGAATACTTCTCAGAGGGACATTCAAGAAATGCTTGTTGATATGAATGAACGAGAAAGTTCTCTCCCCAACCATATTCCAAAACAATTAAGTAATTCCTGACTGCCTTCTATGTGCTCTGCAACATAGACAAAACACTTAGACATATAACAGACTCTTTCTCCAAGAGCTTGAAATTTTAGAAACAAGACTCAATCATCTGAAAAAAAGGGAAAACCATCAAATGGTATATTTTTAAATCTGAGTTTGTTTGGTAAAGATGATATAAATGGTACTTGTGATCAGGGAAGGAAAAAATAAATATATTAGTATATATTACGTTTATGGATAGACACCCTGAACTTAAGGAATTGATAGCTTTGGATACGTAGAAAGTATCACCCAGTGAGGGAAAGTGTACACTACTTAACAGAAAACATTAAAAAGTTCAACTCAAGTGGAGCTTGTTTTAGTGAGAACAAAAAGAGAATACTGGAAGGTATGATAGGTGACCTTTAAATTGAGTGGAAGTTTCTATTTCCTATAATGAGGCATAGGCAGTGACAGCAAAAGCTTGTCAGAGGAGAGCGGTTTATGAAGACAAAATGTCAAAATCCAATATGGTCCACCAAGCGATGAACAGAGAAACAAAATGTGGTAGGTCCATACAATGGCTTATTATTCAGCAATTCAAAGGAAGGAGGTACTAAAACATGCTACAACATGAATGAACTGTGAGACAGTTTCACACTAAGTGAAAGCCGTCACAAAAGACTACATACATATTATACGATTCCATTTACATAAAATATCCAGAAATGGTAATCCATTGAGAAAAAGATTAACGGGTACAGGGGTAGTAAGGATGGGAATGGAGAGTAATTGCTAGTGGGTACAGGGTTTCTTTTTACGTGCTGAAAATGTTCTGTAGTTAGATAATGGTGATGGTTGGAGATCTCAGTAAGTACCTGAAAAACCATTACACTGTAAACTTCAAAAAGGTGAATTTCATGGTTTGTCAATTATATTTCAAAAAAGCTAAGATTTAAAAAATCCAATATAGGTTACAAAAGAAAACACAGGGTGAGCAATTTCAACTGGGTAATCTAGTAATCTCCACTTGGGGCCTGGTTTAGGAGGAAAATAACCTGAATTGCAAGAAAACGACTATAGGGACTGGGGTGTTTGGCCTGAAGGATTAGAAATCCAATGGTTTCTAATGGACAAAGTAGCAAAATGTGCTGGCTAGAGATGAGATGATTTAGACCTTAGGTATTTAATTGCATGGGACTTCATGGTGAGAGGTCCTGAAAGAAGGGGAAAAAGTGACCAGGATGATTTCTGAGTCCACAGTACAGATTCAAGAGCTGTAACTACCAGAAGCCAGGTGCCCTTTAAGGGTGGTAAGAGAGAAAGAAAGAGGAAGAAGATGGAGAGCAGACTCCTTAAGGCAGATTTGTTTAGGGGGAAAACCAAGAAAAGTCAAAGTCTTAAAGCCAAGAAATACTTAGCAAGCCAGGATACCAGGAGAGGATAATCCAGGAACCATGGGGAGAGGCAATGAAGCAAACTGGCAAAAAGGCAGGATGGAAAGAAGATGGTACTACTCCCCAGGCAGGTGGCGTAGAAGTGCAGTCAGGGAGAGAAGTTTGAAGGAGGTTGTGAAAAGGCAGAGAATCAAGGCTGTATGTATCTCCTACAAGTCTGGGGCCACTGACAGTGAAAGCAGCAAGACGAAAGAAGACGACAGGGGAGTTCAATTAATGTCTGAATGAATAAGAAAAGGGATTGCTAATAATGATGAGAGACTGAGGACACCAGAGGAGAAAATAATCCAGCAAGAGGGTCACAGTATGGGGAGAAATGTGTAGGACAGAGACACGTTTTCCTCTAAGGCATGCCAGCAGCAGGAACACCCTACTGGAGAAGGGAGACAGGCAGAAGTGTCATCCAGGAGACGGCTCGGTGTTCTCCAGGTACAGGAGCTCCCAAAGTACCAATGTGAAGGTGCTCCCCACACCCCTCAGCTGTGCCACTGTCTGCATTGATTCCTGCATGCCTGATCCCCCACCCCCACCCCCCCGCCATTTACCTGGACAGAAAGGTCTTTGGATTTCTCCCTCTGATATCCATGGCTCTTCTCCTTGTTCCAATTTGAAGATCACCTCTGGCTTGGAAACTTGGTATCCTGCTCATGGGTAAATACACAAGATTTGGTTGTTTGTGCAAGCGGACAAAGACCCCTCCTATAAGTCAGTACTAGTCCTTGATCTTCAGGAAGTCTGAAGGAAAAAAGAGGTGCAACTTGAGGAGTCATGCAATCAAATGACCTATTTCCAGTTCCGCAGAAGAAAGAACTTCACTTAAAGGACAGGCTCAGAAAACTGTAAAGCTGAGTCCCAAAGAAGAGAACAGGCTCTAACCGTGAACACCCTCCTCATGGCCACCTGATCTACGAGCCCCACAACCTCAGCAACTGAGAAATGAAAGACCTGCCAGTAGGCAAAATCCTGAATCGGCCCTTACCAAGAGAAACCAGGTGGCTATAGTTCTCCAGCATCACATCCCTGTACAAGCGCCTCTGAGCAGGGTCCACGTGGTGCCATTCTTCCTGGGTGAAGTCCACAGCCACATCTTTGAATGTCACAGATTCCTGTAGGATCACATTCCTGTTCAACTAGGAATCAACACCAAAAATGTTCCCATAGCACTATTGGGAACATACTGTATTGTATGGTCATCAGGAACAGTGATCACACATTTGATATCCTGAGGAGGCAATATTGGGTTAAACATACTAGTTGCTCATATAATTTTGTAAAGGATCCAGTATGGCAGGCAGCAAAGTCATGAGAGGCGGCAACACGTCCTGTAATCCCATATCCCTATTAGCGGTCCTGTTTTCCCATAAAGCCAAGCAAGCCAATCATCAATTCCTCACTGCTCATGCACTTCCTTTGTCAGAAAATCCAAATACAATGGGAAGTAAAAACAACAGCCCTCCTTCACACCCGTCACCAATCCCACCATGCTCCTTAGAAATAATGACTGTTAACATTTTAGTATATACACATGAGAGTCCCTTTCTCCATGTTTCACTCACACATACACACATTCTTGTTTTGTGAAATACCTTACATATTGTTCTACAGCTTGCCTTTTGCATTTAACTACATATCTTAGAGATCTTCCCAGAGTAGTACATATCATTTCACCTAATCCCTTTGAATTGCTTCATAGTGCTCCACACACAAGTACAACATATTCACTGACTACATCCAACAGTACTCCATGCTACTAGGGTAAGATTCAGACCTCCCCACCACTTACTGGGCTCTAGCCAGGCTCACCTTGCTGATCCCTGAATACATCCTATCCTGGGCCTCTATGCTGGTTTCTCCCTCTTCCCCTGGGCTCTCCACTTGTTTGACAACTAGTTACTAGTTACTCGGTCTCATCTTGAGCACAGTCCCCTCAGAAAAGCTGCCTTTTCTGCACCTCCCTCTAATTTACGCTCCATCACATTACCACATTAATCTTCCGCCAAGCACAGCTATCTCTCACGGCCAAATTCCTGCCCCCTGAACTCAGGAACCAGACAGATTCAGGTAAAAAGTACTTGTACTTCTAACAATAATCTGTGATTCACTTACTTGTTTGCTTATGTCTCCCCCACCATGAGCTCCATAAGAACAGGGACTTGATCTATCTTGATCAGTTATATGCCCCGCATAGAGTGCACGCTTAAAAAATGTTTGCTGAATGAATAAATGGACCAGTTCCTGTTAGTAGACATTTGGATTATTTTCAGTATTTTGCTACTACAAACATCACTACAGTAACTCCTTTGTGTAAATATAGTAGTAAGAATTGGAATTTCGGGGTCAAAGGTCTTTTCCTGCTTCTTCCCCTGTCCAATCACTTCTTCCTTACCACCCCACTGGACCTAGGCTGGCTGAGATCCCCCATGCCCCCCAACCAGTTCTGATACTCAGGGACTGATTATAGTCTTATCTTACCAGGCCTTGTTAAACCACGTCACCATGCCCTATCTAAATATTTCTTTCTGGTCCTCGTTTGGCCTCAAAAAAGTCTATTGTTAAATATGGTAAAGACAATTAGTGTGAAAAGACATTAAAAGCAGAGCTGAGTTGGGGCGCCTGGGTGGCTTAGTCGGTTAAGCGTCCGACTTTGGCTTGGGTCATGACCTCGCGGTTCGTAGGTTCGAGCCCCGCGTCGGGCTCTGTGCTGACTGCCAGCTCAGAGCCTGGAGCCTGTTTCGGAGTCTGTGATTCCCTCTCTCTCTGACCCTCCCCTGCTCACGCTGTCTCTCTCTCTCTCCAAGAAATAAATAAAATATTAAAAAAAAATTTTTTTTAAAAAAAGCAGAGCTGAGTTCATTACAGCAGTGAAGGAAGTTTCAGCCTTATTCTGTGTCCTCCCATGTGCTTGGCTACAGCTGAACTGGAGTTCTTTCAATTTCCTGGAGGGTATCATTCTCTCCCCACCTATCTTTCCCTTGCTAATTCTGTTTCACATTTCAGGTGCTGGTTAACAGATCTTCAGTCTTCCGATTCCCTACTGGAGGGCCAATACTCATATTATATGCGTTAAGCATTTTGTACATCCATAATTATTCAAATAAACCTAATAATCCATTGGGGCGCCTGGGTGGCTTAGTCGGTTAAGCGTCCGACTTTCGCTTAGGTCATGATCTCGCGGTTCGTGGGTTCGAGCCCCGTGTCAGTCTCTGTGCTGACTGCCAGCTCAGAGCCTGGAGCCTATTTCAGAGTCTGTGTCTCCCTCTCTCTCTCTGACCCTCCCCTGCTCACACTGTCTCTCTCTCCTAGAAATAAATAAAAGTATTTAAAAAAAAAAAAAAAGACAATAAACTATTTGTAAAAAAATAAATAAATAAATAAATAAAAATAAAAAATAAAAAAAAAAAACAACCTAATAATCCATTTAATACTTGTTTTCCTAGTTAGATCATGAGCATTATAAGTGCAGAGACTCTTTTTTTTTTTTTAACTTGAAAACACCAATGTCCAGCAAGTGCCTGATTCAGACTAAACACTGGTTTCCTGACAGAGATTTGAATTTTAGAGAAGACAGGAGTGGCCCCTTCTACTGAGGGAGGAACATGACCACATCCACACATACCATTGGCCTGTCTGTATTGTATTCTTGCTCAACACTGCAGCTGGGTCTGCAGGAACAGGATGTGCTTAAACGTGGGAGACTTTTCTGAGATTAGGGATCTGAATGGGCCAGGTAAGATGACACTCGATATTTACTAGGTGCCTGGCTTTACCAGATGCACTGTGGCAGAAAAAAAATGCAAATGAAAAACACTGCAGTCATTGAATACATTCCATTTTATTTTAAAATGTGCAATTTATTAGAGCACAATATGAGACGATATATAGTGAGGTACCACAGGCATTCAGAGCAGGAAAACCTGGGAAAGGCAGGCTATGTACTGGGCCTGACGAGGTGTAAGTACCATTTGGATGGGAGAAGGAAGTGGGAATCCAATCCATGGATGGCCACACTTGAAAGGAAATGCTGGGCTTGGGATGGGCATGGCCAGCAAGGAAAAAGGGGGTGGATCAAGGCAAGTTAGGTTGTGAGAAGTTAACACCTTCTCCCCACTGCCTACTCTGTCCTGTAAACATACAGCCCACTCTGGTTAAGTGACAGATGGTTATCGGCCAACCTAGATTCCTCTGCTTAACTGTTCCCCCTTATTTATTTACAATTAATCAATTAATTAATCTCTACACCCAATGTGGGGCTCAAACTCATGACCCCAAAATCAAGAATGACATGCTCTCGTGACTGAGCCAGCCAGGCATCCCTAGGTCCCTCCCTTCCCCTCTTCCTTTTCTTTTTTTTTTTTTTTAATTTTTAAATGTTTTATTTGTTTCTGAGAAAGAAAGAGACAGCATGAGCAGGGGAGGGTCAGAGAGAAAGGGAGACACAGAATCTGAAACAGGCTCCAGGCTCTGAACTGGCCATCAGCACAGAGCCTGACACGGGACTCGAGTCCACAAACCATGAGATCATGACCTGAGCCAAAAGTTGGACGCTCAACCAACTGAGCCACCCAGGTGCCCCTCTTCTTTCTTTAAGTTTATTTATTTTGAGAGAGAGAGCACATATGAACAAGTAGGGAAGGGCAGAGCGCGAGGGAGAGACAGTATCCCGAGCAGGCTCCCTGCCATCAAGGCAGAGCCCAATGTGAGGCTTGAACTCACAAACCATGGGATCATGACCTGACTGGAGATGAAGAGTCAGAGGCTTAACAGGTGCTCCCCACCCCCTATTTAATACGCGGCCTCCTGATTTTTTTCCTGCTTCCCCAAACAGACTACACTAATGGTAAAGAATGTGCTGACCAGTAAACAAATGTCTAGACCAAGTCCAACAAATGTCATTTCTTGCCACGATGAAACAATTGACTTCTGTTCTACTCTTCCTACCCACTGTCAGAGTCAGTTTTCTCAAACACAAACCTTTGATCAAATTACAAACCAGGCAGCCACCACCTCTTACCTGGACCAGGCTACATCCTCCTAACTTGTCTCTCTCGTTCTGCACTCATGCCCTGCTCCAAAGTCTGTTTTCCATACACCAACCAGAGTCATCTCGTTAAAAACTGTTGGATCAAGTCACCCCTGTGCATAAAAATCCCCAACAGGATCTCAATTAATTCCAAGTAAAACCCAAAGTCTTTACAGTGGACCACAGGGCCCCTATAGTCTGGCCCTTCACTATCTCCCCGACTTCATCTTGAACCTCATCCCTCACCCCTACTCTCCCCCCTTCATTCGCCCTGCCCTCCTTCAGATTCCCAGAACACACGAAGGATGTTTCTGCTAGGGAGCCTCTGCTCTGACTGCTCCCTTGACCTGGAAGCCTCTTCCCGGAGGTATGCGTGGCTCCCCACTCACTGGCGTCAGCTGCTGTTCAAATGTCACCTCATGAGAGCAACCTTCCCTGACTGCCCTGCATAAACGAGCATCCCACCCGCCACTGTCACTCTAGCTTCTTCTCTTTCTCACAGTCCTTACCACCTGACATATATTTTACATTTGTTCACAGTCCGTACAGCACAACTGCAGACCAGAGGAGAGCAGGATACTATTTACTTTCTTTATGTCTAACTCCACTGCCTAGAACAGGCCTGGCACATAGTGGGTGTGCTATAAATATTTAGTAAACGCTTTTCTTGAGGGGTGCCTGGGTGGCTTGGTCGGTTGAGCGTCCGACTTTCGCTTAGGTCATGTTCTCGTGGTTCGTGGGTTCGTGCCCCTCGTCGGGCTCTGTGCTGACTGCCAGCTCAGAGCCTGGAGCCTGTTTCAGTCTGTGACTCCCTCTCTCTTTGACCCTCCCCTGCTCATGCTGTCTCTCTCTCTCTCTCTCTCCTAGAAATAAATAAAACATTAAAAAAAAAATTTAAAAATTAACAAGGTTGGGGCGCCTGGGTGGCTTAGTCGGTTGAGCGTCCGACTTTTGCTTAGGTCATGATCTCGCAGTTCATGGGTTCAGGCCCCGCGTCGGGCTCTGTGCTGACTGCCAGCTCAGAGCCTGGAGCCTGTTTCAGTCTGTGACTCCCTCTCTCTTTGACCCTCCCCTGCTCATGCTGTC